GGCGGTGCATAGAGGAGAAACAATAATGTACAGTATGTGGACAATCATGTGTTTTTTAACCTTAAACCGCATAAACACATTTCATTACACCAAATACACAAAATAATGTTCTTTTTAGCAACATCATATGACCCCTTTTTAAACACTTTTAATGTTGAGATTAAAGTTTTTAGCTGAGAAAATGTCAAACTATATATTTTTTTTGTCCCCTACTAATATGTAACGAAGCATTCATAGTCCCGTTTATATGATGGATGTGAGATGTGTGCGTGCGTGCGTGTGTATAATACACACAACATACCGCATTAATAAAGAGGGAAAAGATGACAACTTCGCTTATAGTTGACGATTGATTTTCTTTTATTGTGGTAATATGTACTAACATGAAATGTAGTTTATTTATTGATATTAAAGTTAAACATTTACTTAAGTTACATTTATAGATAAAAAATAAAAAAGTATCAATTCGAAAACGAATTTTGGAGTCAGTGTGTCGCGCATGCGCAGTGGCAGTCTCGTGCATTGTGGGAGCGGATTGAGAAACATGGCGGCGCGCATCATTGCCCGGTGTGTCCGACCACTGAACCACCGTTCTGTATATTTTAATCGTATCAATACTACCGCGACATTAACAGCAGCTCCGCTCACCCATGACCGAACATTTTCATATCTGACTAATGGACATAAATCTCCGCTGGCGCAGGTGTGTATTAGTTATTGACTCATGACATCCAATGACCTACCCGTGCCTTTAGTTAGAATGACTTCAGCCTCATTTCAGTGTATTATATATGCAGCCAGAAAATACGTTTGAACCAAATGAGCTGCATCTACCATTAAGGATAATGTTTCTAATTTAACTTCAAATGTTATTATGTGGCTGAATAGAGACTGGTCTGTAATATGGTTTGTTTTTTAATGATCTCTTTTGCAGTAATCAGTTCTGGTTTTTATAATTACAATGGTTTATATACATGTATGCATTGCAAGATTGTATGTATACCTTTATAATCGTTTAAAAGTTTCTGTATTTTTAACTGTCTATATATTCTGTGTACTGTGTGTGTATAGTATGTTTGCTGCATCTTTCTTTCACATCTACGTTCTATGACATTTAACAAATATATAATTTACTTATTACCTCATCATAATACTCATGTATCAGCGGCTATTATTGAACTGAACCTCCAGTTCAGTGTTGTTATGGTTAGCTAAAACTGTTGGAATCGTTTTTGTTAACTGAAATTGGAAATATAAATATTAAATGAAAAACTTAAAATAATAATATATATTTTTTAAATGTTGCCTTGGCAACTAAGTGAAACCGGTGAGTTTTAAGCTGAAGTGTTAACATTACTAAAACTGAATCAATAAACTAAAGCTAAATAGAAATAACAATTCAAAACAAAACAACTAATACTAAAATAATACTGCTCCAGTTGTCTGTCTTAAATAATCGTTGTAAAATGTATTTTCTAGGATGTTTTGTTTTCTTTTGTAGATCTCCAGCAGCTCATTTCAGGTCTTGCAATGGAGGCAGTATGGTGACTTGCCCCCATTAACCCTAGAGACTATCCATGACCGTGTCCTCTATGTCCTGAAGCTCTATGACAAGATCAACCCTGAGAAGGTAAAATATTTCTGAAATATTTCAAATGATCTTCAAATATATTGCGTACAGCAAATTAAGTGTGCTTGATGATATTTTAAAAGTATTTGACTTATTAGCTTCAGGCTACATCTCACTTCATGAAGGATTTGGGATTGGACAGTTTAGACCAGGTGGAGATCATCATGGCCATGGAAGATGAATTTGGTATGTAATTGCATTTACAATAGTTTATATTCTAATTTCAAGCATAATGTTTCTCCCATTATGACCTTTGCTTTATATTGATGTTTTATTTGAATGTATGCATTGGTTTTTCTGGTGTATAAGGACTTTTTATACTTGGTTATGGATGTATATATCTAGTACCCAGTTGATAAAGTGTTTGCTTTCACGTACAGGTTTTGAAATCCCTGATGCTGAAGCAGAGAAGTTGATGACACCACAAGAGATTGTTCAGTACATCGCAAACAAGAAGGATGTTTATGAATGAGCATAAATAATCATTGTGAGTTTAATTACTATTCAGATCTTTTGACAATTTGTGTCACTTCAGGTGAACCTTATGAATGCTTGTTTGTTCTTTTTCGTCCAGATAAAGATAATCCCGTCAAATGACAAAGACCATGGAGCTTTTGTCACAAATTGTTTATGTTTCTGCTGTTCTTCTTTATTCTTTTTGTATTTAGATGCATGTTTAAATCATTGTTCATAATTTTGTTGGTCTGCAGCATTCTCTGCTAGATACATTCACAAGCTCCTCTTTCAAACAATGAGAGTGTGCAAATAATGTGAATAAGTCATATGAATTCTAGAAAATAAAGACTTTAAATCAGTTTAAAGGACCTTATTTATGTCTTCAGATCTATGTTATGAATCTGTGCCAATGTGATCAGTCTGTTCATCAATAGATCCAAGGGTTTGTTTTTTGACAGTTTCTTTGTTTTCTGTTATGTGGTTATAGAAAAGAATCCCACCCCCTTTAAAATAATCACATTTTGTTGCTTTGCAGCCTGAAATGAAGACGGACACAGTTTTTGTTTTATCCAGCTGTATTTACTCAGTGCAACTTATAACATCCAAGTGAAATATATAACATATAAAGATATAACACCAACATGTCAGAAAAAAATGAAATAAAACACTTAGTTCCAAGATCACAAGATCCTTCATTCTAATATGCTAACATTCTAATATTTGGTGCTCAAGAAACATTTCTTATTATTATCAATGTTGAAAACTGTTCTATTGCTTAATATTTTTGTGGAAAGTGTGATACATTTTATTTCAGGATTTTTAGATGAATAGAGTTTAAAATAACAGAATTTGAAACAAAAATATTTTATGTTATGAATGTCTGTCACTTTTGATCAATGTAATATGTCCTTTCTGAATAAAAGAAAAATGAATTACAAAATCTTACCGAAATTTTGAGTAGTAATGTATAAAACAAGAAACTTCACGATTTCACATTTATATTTCAGATTGGCTGTATTTGGTTTGTTATAGCACCGCCTACTGGAAATTCTTTCCAAGTCTAATATTTACCCGAAGACTTTTCCAGAGTTTGAGCCAAGACAGTTTAAACAGGTTATATTAGGAAGCAGTACTTAATCTTGACCCCCTGAAGTTAATGCTAATAAAACTAATACAATCTTCCAATATAACCTTTAACTAACACCAAATAACACTAAGCTGTTGACATTTATTGCAGTGTGGGTTTAAAATAGTGATACTTTGACATTTTTGTTCATATTTGCACATGGATTCCTTTAATGCCATTTCTAAAGTTTGTGTATTTCAGGATCGGCTCCTCAGCGTAAAAGAACTGTCTGTATTTCCTTCAGAATATTTAAAACATTAAATATTACACAGCCAAATAATCTGCCTGTGAAGCAAAATGCAGAGAACGTGAATTCAGTGAGAACTAATGTATATCACAATGTAGGATTCCAGCAAAACTATTAGATGATTTATGATATATCATTCATCCTTAATTTAGACTTTAAATAAGCAATATGTCATTTTTATAAAAGCATGCATGGTTTATTCATGAAATTTGGTTGATGTTAAGTTCAAAAGGGCTTACATTTAAAAGACACGCCTATATTATGGACTTAAATAAGCCCATGTTTCCTTTTCAGGTTTAATAAATCCTTTGCTCTTCCTCTGTGTTTATGTGTGTGTTAGTATGTCAGTGGACTTCTGCAACGTAGCTCTTGCTGTGATGATGAGAAGCTAGGGAGGGACGCTCCAGGCATTTCCTCCTTTTTTTGCGTGTGTTTGTGAATGTCAGGATTTCTGTGCATTAGGAAAAGGTTAGGCAAAGTTTTAAAGGGGTCATATGATGCTGCTAAAAAGAACATTATTTTGTGCATTTGGTGTAATGAAATGTGTTTATGCGGTTTAAGGTTAAAAAAACACATTATTTTCCACATACTGTACATTATTGTTTCTCCTCTATGCCCCGCCTTTCTAAAACGCGTCGATTTTTACAAAGCTCATTGGTCTGAAAAAGCTGTGATTGGCCAGCTATCCAGAGTGTTGTGATTGGCCGAATACCTCAAGCGTGTGACGGAAATGTTACGCCCCTACCATACTGTGATGATGCCGTCAGGCCAGAGCAATGATTCAAAAACATGAAAACCCATTATAAACGAGGCATTCATTGCATCCAGTGGGGACATAATTATGGATTATAATGACTTATACTGTCTTTTTACACGTTGCGTTGCATCGCGGTGCGTAAACGTAAAACCCTGTCTGTTGGGTTGAAGTGTTCTGGAACAGTGTTGTAAATACAACTTAACCACTGATTTCTAGTCGTGTCCATTTTTGGAAGACCAAACAAAGTAGTTTCGCTTTCACAACGAAACAGCGTCACACACGGCAGCCTAGAGTGAGCGGAAGCCGGGGGATAAAGTGAGGAACGGCCGCAGGGCTAGAGTGAGCAGACGCGGCGGATTCGACGAAGGAGCGTCCGGCGGGCTTGCGGCAACCACACGTGCAGACCCCGGGCTGGGTTCCGCTTCGCCCACAAGCCGATCCGGCGATCCACAGCGCAAAGTTGTAGTATTTCCTCAGCAACCAGCACGGATCAGCTCCAGGCATGATGACGTCCTCTTTTGGAAGGCCAAACAAAGTAGTTTCGCTTTCACAACGAATCACACAGTGCCTTCACGACATGGCGGCGGCGGCAACAATACTACAGCGAGAATAAAAGTTACGCCTTCTTTCTTTGCGTGAACATTTGGGCGGCGTTATGCAAATCTTCCCACATAGTGATGTAGATATGTGGGGGCGTGTTAGAACGAGCCGTTTTAGGTAGGCGTGGCTGACTCTTAACTTATATAAAGAATATATCTTTGGATTTGAGACTTTAGTCTTTGCAACTTTACAGATCTTCTTTATGCACCAAGAGCTTGTAACACTCCAAAGAGAAAGGAAAAAT